ATGCAACTCCATCTGATTCTTGTAAGTATTGAGATGATCCATATGATCTTTTGTCCTATCAAAAGCATCCATTTTGGGGCATTCTAAATTTCGGAGGGAGGGAGAAATGTAACACATCAGCTGTGAATGGGGATTCAGTCTACTGCACCAGGGCATCCATCGTTACTGGGGTCTTGTCCCTCACGGCTTCTTTCATGTGACTGAGTTCTTGTTAGATGTCCTTGAAGCACTGCTCCCAATATTGCTCTCTCCTTTCCTACTGGAAAGGGGAAAAATCTTTTTTCTTGATCCCATCATTTTGAATTTTCACTTTTTCGTTATCGTCATTTCTAGGAGGTAGACAAGGAGCCTGTGCCATAGCCTAACTATTCTCACCCCCTTCATTAATTTCCCTGAGGGGGGGTCAAGGCATTGACATTCCCCTGATGGGGGACCTCCTTGGGCTGGCCGTGTCTGCTGAGGACCTTCCAATAGTTTCAAAAGCTCTTCATTCTGTTGGAGTAGACTCTGGTTGACTAGGCGAAGAGCTTCCAATTCATTATTCATAAGGGGGGATCTGTCATGGGAGGATTGACCTCTGTGGTGGAAAAGAAGTCTTGAAGGCTTTCTTGTTGCCTTCCGCTAGTGGCCTCCTGTTGGTTTTACATCCGCGGGGGATTTATCTGGCTTCTGTTCAAGTTACGTGTTGAGACCATCAATTACTAACAGATCAACAAATTCGTAACAGGAACAATCGTTCCCACAAATGGCACCAAACTGATGGTGAATGAAGCGTAGGTGAGCAAAATGTGGTGTATCTGAGTAAGACTTGGTCTGAGCTTTTAAGTTCGTGGGGACAATGATAAGATTCTTTGGCGTATGTTCACACAATGAAAATATGGTGGTTCACTACCTTTGGAGCTCGGCTAATCCACCCTTCAATGGAGTCTCTTGCTCCTTGAATCTTTATTCATGGTCTGTGTGGTTTACTGAGTGTTTTCGATATAACTGGGATTGCTTGTCCCGTACTGGAGGCATTGTACAATATTTATAGTCTAATTCATAGCTCTATGGGAATTGTGGCGAGATCCTTGCCTTTCTTCCATGGTGTCTTGCTTGATTCTAGGTGACAGTTATGGTGGTTTGAGGATTTTATGCCTAGACTGGAGCTTGTTATCATTGGGAGGATGTCTTGTGTATGCTAGTTGTCCTCCATTTATCTACTTCAGGATGCAGGTGGAGGGAACTCTAGGTCTAGACGTCTGAGCTCAAACTCCATGAGCTGAGCTCCCTTCCTAACTTTAGCTCCCGCGCTCAAATTTCGGATTCTTTTCTGGTATCATCAATATTAAAAACTAAAAAGGAAATTAAGGGGGTCGGTACCATTTATTAGAAATATTAGGCAAAAAGTATCACAATTAAAAAGATTAGTAAAAAAGTACACATGTCATGCCCAAAGTCTAAAATTCCTCTTTTTGTAGAAATTGAACAGTTTTCTAAACAAGTGAGGACACCTCCGAAAAAAAAGGAAGAGATAATAGTTTTGCATAGTTGCACCATTATCACCGGATTCTGTAAACTTCAAACGGGGATGACAAAACTTCCCCAAAACCACCGTTCTCTAAAAATCGTCAGTTAGAAATCATTTAGCTGGTATCAGTGTGACGTTGTCGTGTGCCACTATGCCAATATGACATGTATCACTGTGCCAATGTGATTTGTAACACTGTGCCAATGCGACATGTATAACTGTGTCAATGCGACATGTACCACTACTACGTATAAACATATCAAATAACATACATATAAATTTAAATTTAAAATATCCATGGAAAAAACCACTTACAACAACCAATGATATTATATAAGGTAAAAACATATATTCCTCATTACAATTTATAGAAAAAAAAAAACAAATTATACAAATTTAAAGAAGATATGAATGTTTGAATTCATAACTTCAGTTGAATGAAAGAGGAAGATATAATTTGAAACTCAAAAATGCTATTCTATAAATTTAGGGAACAAAATCTCTAATATAACTGTCAAATTTGTCTCCCATTAATAATGGTAAAGCTTTTGAAGACATTAAAAGCTTCTGATTTCATGCTCAAAAAATAAACCAACGTTTTGCGACTGAAGTCATCAGTTAGAGTGAGTATGTACCTTTTTCCATTGTTTGATTCTAGTTTGATTAGCCCATAGATATCATCTCGTATCAACTGTAGGATTTGCTTTGCTCGCCAGGTGCTATAGGAAGGAAATGGATCTCTGTGTTGCTTTCCAACCAAACCGTCCTTACAGATCTTGGTAGGAGACTTCAATTGAGGCAGACTAGTTACCATTTGTTTCTTTAGAAGAATTTGTAGTCCCTTGGACAGCAAATGTCCATAGCGAAAATGCCATAGATATCCTTTGTCTTCTAAAACAGTATTATAGCACGTGGAAGTCATAGGTTGGGCTATGGCATGGACAATGAACACTCAGTTGGCAGCCATCTCTATTTTCATAAGTAGACCACGTTTAGGATGAAATATCTTGCATTTGTGATGTTGAAGCATAATGGTCAAGTCTTTGGCCTGCAGCTGCCCTATACTCGATAGATTATTCCTCAGCTCGGGCACAAAGAAGACATCTGTGATGATGCGTGCTTTGCCATTTACCTACAATCTGATATTACCCTTGCCCAACACAGCCATAGAAATATTGTTCCCTAGTTTAACTAAATCACGATAACTTTCATCAAGGTCAGAGAAAGAAAATTTGTTACCGCACGTATGATTGTTATATCCTGATTCAAGGAACCATTGATCATCATGACTTTTTGTGGTATTATCAACCTGTGCCATTAGTAACAGTTCTTCTTGAGTCTCGGCATGATGGGCCTCATTCTCCTTCGTTGGACATTCCCATTGAAAATGTCCAAGTTTGTGACAATTGGAACATTATACTGTAATACGATTGAAGCTTGGTCTGCAAAGGTCGCCACGTCCTCGACCTCGTACTTGAAAACTCCCACGTCCTCGTCCCCTAGATTCTTCTTGTGTGACTATCAAAGCATGGTCTTCTTTAACAAGAGAGCTCATACGTTGCTCATGAAGAAGCAATCTACTTTGGAGTTCATCAATCGTCAAAGTGTTTATATAGTTGGATTCTTCAATGGAACAGACAACATAGTTGAATTTAGGTGTCATGGATCGCAAGATTTTACTGACAACATCACCATCAATCTTTTGTTCTCCATTGGCTTTCATCTTGTTGACAATAGTGAGGGTTCTAGCAAACAGGTCAGTCACAGTTTCACTGTCCTTCATACGAAGAACTTCATCTTCCTTTCAAAGCGCTTGCAATTGAGCCCCCTTGACTCCTGTCATCCCTTGATATTTGATCTTCATGGAATCCCAAATGTTCTATGTCGTGTCCTTGTTGAGAATAGTTTCCAAAATGGAACGATCCAATGCTTGAAATAAGTAGTTCTTAGCCTTCAAATCCTTGAGCTACTGCACGGCACTCTGCTTCTTTTGTGCATTAGTGAGGATAGCTTCATCTGCGACTTCAAGAACACCGTCGGCCACCAGTCCCCAATACTCTTTCAATCGAAGAAAATTTTTCATGAGCATGGCCCAATGGTCATAGTGCCCATCAAACTTTGGTACTGCTAGTTGTATAAAAGAACTCTCTGAAGTCATACTTGCGAGTATGACTCAAACAATCTGAATGTAATATAATTGAGGGAAAAATCACTGATTTATTATTAGATAAACATAACTATTAAATAGCCTCATAAGAAATAGAATTTGAGAAAAAAACATTCCACGTCTAACAAGAATTCCTAATATCGTGGAATTCTAACTGAAAGAAAATGGTAATCATGCAGACCTATGGAATAGGTCTTTATTGACAACCAGTAATAAACTAACTCAACTAACAAACTAACTCAAATCACTAACATGGTTTAATTGTTCCAGGATATCTTGGATTAAAAGTGTCATGTTGGTGTGAGAAGAGCCTCCTTCTTCTACTGCCATCTTTGCCATTCTTCCCAGCTCTCTAGCTCGTTTCCTTCTCTCTTCAGCTTCCTCTTCTTCACCCATCAACTCATCAACGCACATCTTAACTACATTCTTCTCAACCAACACTCCAATCTCTTCTTCCTGCCCAAAATTAACTTCAACCTCTACACCAACCCTCACTCCAATCCCCAGTACTTGAACAATCAATTTTTCATTCAAAAACTGTTCCGAAAACATTGGCCACGTTATCATTGGCACACCAGCAGACACCCCTTCTAGAATAGAGTTCCACCCACAATGAGTTAAAAACCCCCCAATTGCAGGGTGAGACAATATCAGTACCTGTGGTGCCCAACCATGGATCAAAAGTCCTCTCCCTTTGATCCTTTCCTCGTATTTTTCTTCCACAATCCACTTCTCGAAATCATTCGATTTATGCCTGAGAACCCATATGAAGGGTTTGTTTGATGCCTCTAGACCCAACCCGAGCTCTATCATCTGCAAAGTTGGTAGGCGCGATAGGCTTCCTAGACAGGCATAGAGTACAGACCTTGGCTCGAATGAGTCGAGCCAATTCAAGCAATGGTTTTCATTGATAGCAGACTTGTTACCTCTTGTGGCCATATCCATATTATCTTTGTTGCAGAGTGAAACAGGACCAATACTCCATACTTTTTTACCTGTTGCCTTGGCATATTCTTTGATATACTCTGTCTCTAACTCCTGGAAAGTGTTAACCACAAACCCATATGATGCTTCTTCACCCTCTCTGATGTCATCCCGCAAATCTCTTGGGCCAGATGGGTTTGTCTTGACACAGCCCGTAATCGCTGCTATAGTAAGTTCAATTGGGTCAGGCAGGCCAGGCACCAAAAAGTGACCTGATTCGGATTTAATATCATCAAAGACTCTGGAGACCTGCAAGTGGTGCATACAAGAGAGCGGGAAGCAACCACATGCATGGAAAAGAAGTTTTGGGATATGAAACTTGTGGGCTACATTAGTCACCCATGGGAGACACCTATCAGAAATTAAGCAGCTTGCTTGGGGTTTTAACTCTTCTAACAATTTTTCTACGGGCCCTTGTAGCATCCCACATGCGTATAAAAATTTACCTCCAGCGAACATTGAAGGGAGCATATCAAAATTCTCGCACCCTTCTGGTAAACCTACTTCTACACATGGAAATTGGAGTTGGATTTCTCGAATTTGAAGTCCAGCCTCCGTGGCACGAGCGATGATTGTTTTGAATCGGTCGGCATTGAGGGGTGTTGTGACTATGGTGACGAGAACTCCCGCGCTGTGCCAACAGTCTGGCAACGTCTACCATGGGAATCATGTGGCCAGGAGCCATTAAAGGAAGCAATACAAAGTGAAGCTGTTGCGTTTGAGAATCCATCGAAGTCTGAGAATCTGGATTGTGAGAGTGGCCCTATATTTCTTACTTCCAAATACAAGCCAATTCTCCCTAGTTAGAGTGGTGCTTCCAGCTCAAGACTATAACTGGTATTAAATACACAGCCGCACATGGGAATCACAAAAAATACATTTTGACCCCATCAACTTTGGTATTAATTTTACTTTGTTAGTTGAACTGTTGGATTTCTCATATTTTCTCCTCTACACTTTAATTGGTTTCACATTGTTCTAAAAACAATCACCATATACCTTTTGGGTGGAAAATGTTCACCTAATTCAATGGTCGTACCAAGAGAAGTTTCTATTAAAATTTTGGCGGGCGTTAATCTTTGGGTAGTGGGAAATTAATAACTATGATTTAAGGTACCATTGCAAAAAATAAGACAAGTGAAGGAACTATAACGGAAAAGACCATAATTGAGGGGTCAAAGTTTGATTTATCCAGAAAATTCTTTCCCTTTTTAGACAGCTGGTCTAATTTTTGTGGAGGATATTGACTTATGCTGACACTGATCTGCACCAAATTGGCATCTTCTGGTGTTGTCTTGGCAACGAAATATTGTTTCTTTAATTCAATTGACGGTGGGAAAGGGTCCGCGTTTTTATGTCATGGTGCAAAATATCAGTCATGTTGTAATTAATTCAAAAATATTTTGTTCCGGATTTTTCAATTTATATGTTGCGGCCAAATCAGCATCTATGAAGTTGTGATACTGTTTTGTCAATCTTCGGCATGTTTAATTTTTTCTCCCGTCAAGATTATGTTGCAACCATTGTGTCTTTATCCAATAAAATTAAAAAATCAAACTCTCTTAAAATAATAAAAATTAGGGTTGAGTCTTCCTGCATAGACTTATAATAATTTGAATTGTCAAAAAAATTTATCATAAAAAAAGCCTTGAATTTTTTTTTTTCCAACTAAATCACCAATAAAATAGGAAACAAAAGCACAAAGCCAAAATATATTTCTTTTTTCTAACTCCACCAAATCTCATATCATCCGGAGTATAGACGACATAATAGAATTTGGTACCAAGTACAAACTCGCATATGGTCAACTAACTTATTATATGAATTTGGTGCCACCTAACAAAATTCCATACGGTCAGCTAACTAACAAAATTGCATAAAGTGACACTTTAGTGGGCAACCGTGAATTCGTTCCCAAAAATAATAATCTAAATAACAGAAAAGTGAAAATAACAAACAAAAAGATGCAGTAATTACAATCTGATTAAGATGAACCAAGAAATATGGTTTTCTCATGAATGAGAAAACAATGTCCTTCTTGAGTGCCAAAAATTGATGTCATTTCCATCCTTGGTTGCTTAACATGTATCTCTTCCATTTTTCTTGCCATTGTGTGTATAGTTAACTATGATTTAACCAATGTGGTTGCTTTATAGAAATCTTATCCGTTGTAGTAAATTTAGACGCGTGTCATTCAACTAACCTGTGTTGAGTAAAATTAAAAAGAAAGTGTAATAGAGAGGTTATGAATCCTATATTTCATGAAATACTCTCCTTTGTTGAGCACTAATATCAACGACATGAGCTTCCATTTTTAAAATGTTTACACATATATTCATTGTTATATGTAAAATACCTGATAAATTATCCACACAAAATCAATCAATTAATTAAAACAAATATAATATTATTTAAATCTAATTGTCGTGCCATTTGGATAATGGGCAAATGCCAATAGTTTATGGAGTGTAGTATTAACCCAATACCTATAATGAATTAATTTAACAAATTACAAAAATAACATTATCCTTACAACAATCACCATCTTTCACTCTAAATACACATGGCTAGTAGTCTAGCACCACCACCGATACCATCAACATGATCAAACACCTCGTCCACAGCCTATAAGCCACCTGTAGACATTAAAAAATGAGAGATAGGGAGGTCAGTATCATTGATGTTGGCCTGTTTCATTGATGTTGAATTAATGGGTTCGTAGATTTACAGTTTTTCTATACATTTCTTTCTATTGACATTATGGATTGAGATCAAAAGTAAATAAAAATTTTGCATAAATAATTTTGGTCCATCACAAGGGTTTTCAAGAGTATTATTAGTTATATGAAAATTGGGGACTTGAGAATTGTGATTTTGAATTATGGGCTTGATTAATTTAACTGGTTTAGTGCTAGTTACTATAGAGTGCTCAGTATTATATTATTTTATAGTTTAACATATTCGCTTTAGGCTTACT